GAAAGGAAGAAGAAAGGAAGAAGAAGGGAAGAAGAAGGGAAGAAGAAGGGAAGAAGAAGGGAAGAAGAAGGGAAGAAGAAAGGAAGAAGAAGGGAAGAAGAAAGGAAGAAGAAAGGAAGAAGAAAGGAAGAAGAAAGGAAGAAGAAAGGAAGAAGAAAGGAAGAAGAAAGGAAGAAGAAAGGAAGAAGAAAGGAAGAAAGGAAGAAAGGAAGGAAGGAAGCAAGCAAGCAAGCAATGAAGGATCTTCGAGACTGAAGTATGAAGAAAAGCTGACCAGGGTGTACTCGAACCACCAAATCCATTGGCTGCCTTGCCAAAGCGGCAAAGCAAGATGATGCCTCCTCCAGGGGGCAGCTGATCCAATTACATATTTTTAACCGGAAGGAAACAAGCAAAAAAGCACGCAAACAAATTAAGGAAGAAAGCAACGAAGAAAGCAACAAATGGAAGGAAGGAAGGAAGGAAGGAAGGGGAAGACAGGGGAGGGGAAGGGGAAGACAAGGGGAGGGGAAGGGGAAGACAAGGGGAAGGGAAGGGGAAGGGAAGGGGAAGGAAAGGGGAAGACAAGGGGAAGGGAAGGGGAAGGCAAGGGGAAGGGATTGACGAAGAAGACGAAGAAGACGAAGAAGAAGAAGAAGAAGAAGAAGAAGTAGTAGTAGTAGTAGTAGTAGAAGTAGAAGTAGAAGTAGAAGTAGAAACCCTTGCCAAAAAGCACTGGCACTGCAACAATTCATTCTACACTCCCGGAATGTGCCTCTGGACATCTCGGTTGTTGGAGACCTGGCCCTCCAACTGTGGCAGTGGTATACAGCGGTGCAGGTCTCTGGAGCTCACTCACAACCCCACGATGGACTTGGTTGCTCTTCAACGGATTTTCGCTGGCAACGCCTTTCGAACTTTGAGGTCTGCGAAACGCGAGAACCGCTCGCACCAGGCAGCACGAGGAAAAAAGGTTGAAGACCCTCGCATTGTACCGTTAATCCACTGCAGAGTACGGTTCATCTCTATAGTGTAGGTCTTAGCTCCATCATGCATGTTGTATGGTTTGTTGTAATCATTTTTTTCGACCCTCTCGAAATTATACATCTCTTTTCAGGGATTCAACTTATATCCCGCAATGCATGCAATTTTCTATTTCTCATATACTTCTTTCATTCATTCACTGCAGAGTACCACATTGTATCATCCGCAGCAGAGTACCATATTGTATAGTCTCATGCATATCCAATCTATTCTGAACCCCATTGAATTTCTACTTCAGGGGGGTCCAACTTATGTATATTGTAAGGTGTTATCGTAATGAATCTATTTTTCGATCCCCTTGCCTTGAACTTGTACATCATTTAGGGGATCCAACTTACATCCCACAATGCCTGCAATGGCAGATTTCTCATAGACGTTTTCCCTTGAAATTACAAGTGCCATGCAGTGGATGAATGATGAATCTCATTGATGTCTCATTATTGTATGATGTGCATCACCAGGTCCATGAAAGGCGAATAGATGACCCCAACAGAATACGTCCCTCAGCACCTGCGGATCCTGCGCCGATTTAACACCAAACACGCCGGACTCCGGACTGGACTTGACCGGGTCGGCGAAGAGATCCGAAAAGAGGGGATTCGGGGTGTCCATGAACCAGACTCTGGAGGGTTCCGACCTGGCGAGGCTGTGGGTCGCGCTGGACGCGGCCTGTGGGCTGTCGCACATGCACAACAGCACTCCTAAGGCCCCGCTCCGGATCGTGGATCTGAAGGTGGAGGGTTTAGGTTTGGAACCAAGGGAGGCCACCCGAACCACCACTGCTTTGGACATACTGGAGTTTCAAGAATAAGTCGTTTGGAGAACATTTCTCACCGGAGGGAGAGGACAGGGCACACGTGTCCGTGCATGAAAAGGAGTGGTGAGAAGCCAAATGAAACCAGTGGAAAGAGGAACAACACCGACTGAAGGTTTGGAGAGCAGAGCAGCAGAGTCCTCACATGGGGCTTCGGGCAGATAGGCCGAGAGGTTTGCCAAGTGCTTGACACATTCCATCAGCAATCTTCGGATATCAACCACTCGCATTGCACCAGTAAGAGTTCATTCATGGGGCAACTCTGAGGAAGATCGACACCTTCTTTTCTTGGTATCCGCCCAAGTTTAGTGAGTACCACAATACCCCATGGCCCATGCCTCGTTGTGGGGTAACAGCTCCGCTGCTGGCTAGGGTGGTATATACTCCATTTATGACCTCAATGTAGGTAACTTTTCCATACTGTAATACATGGAAGGCCTTGGTGCAATCCATTTCTATCACTCGACGGACGAGCGGCGCCTGCCGAGGCCTTTCATCGAGACATCAAGTCAGCGAACATCCTCCTCGATAGGTGAGGAGGGTGAACGCATCGGTTGGGCATCGATTCCAGCACCGCTTTTATGACGGATTCGTAGCCACGGGATGGAGCTTTTGTATTTCGGACATCCGGTTCGGCACATGTCTTTTTGGAGATTCGAAGGCACAAATCTTCGCAAGGCAACACTTTTCCGGTGCATGTTGTCCCAATTGATGGGAGAACAGCTGGTTGGACACGCCAAATCCAGCATGTCCTGCCTGTTTTCTCGCTCCTCTTCCCCTCCCCGGCACACGTGGCACCCGTTCCAGTGGTGCGTGCAGCGCGGCTCCGCAGGAGCGGTACCGCCAAGATGGCGGACTTCGGCTTGTCGGGCATCGCCAAGAACAAGGTGGGTCCCAATCGGAGTTCCATCCATTTCTGTCTGGTTGGGATTGGGTAAACGCAAGCTATTAATAGTCCCCTTTGGAGGTTCAGGGGTGTCCAACCACCAGGCGAAAGGGCTCGACAAGTATCATAGTATGTCCAACATGATCGAGCCACACCGAGCACATACAAACAATGGCTTGGGTGGCACTCGGGAGCTCCGCGGAATGCCCGTTGGTTGTAGACTCAAACGATTCTTCTAACCTCCCCAACACATGTGGAAGAAGCTCTTCATATTGGGGGGTTGATTGATCAAGAGTCTGAATTTGTCCGACATAGTCTTTGGAAGCGGAGTCTTTTTTCTTGCAAAGCTTCTCATCTCCAGCTACAGCTGGCCCAACGCTTTGAACAGCGGCCGGCCGCCAGAACAAGCTGAACATGACCTGTGAGCAAATCAGCGGAACGCCGGGCTATGCATGTCCACAGTGGGCAGACTCAGAGTTGCCGTATGTGGGTTGACCAATCTTTTTCGGAGAAGTGGATCAACCTTAAACCTTTTTTTGGGGAATTATACAATTGGGCACACCCCACGGATTTTATGAACAGATGATCAGTCCGCTTAGGCTTAGCCTTTTTTCTAGGGAAATTGAGTGAGTGAGTGAGTGAGCCAAAGACAAGAAGGCCAAGTGGCAGTATGGTTTCCATTTGACAGCCCAATCAGATTGGGAATCAGAGAAGGTCAATGTTGCAAAGGCAATGGTGCCCACATGTCCCATTTCTTCTCCAGCCGAATAGGGATTCTCATTGCTTGATTCTCTTCTTCTTTCTGCTCGGTTTTTGACGGCTCATGTTCTTTGTAATGATCGACAGCAGTCCTTAGTCCTTGACTCATACCGACCGTGGTCACATTCCTCTTGTCTGGTTGACTCATCGACTGTTTTCTCCTCCTTGGCCCCCTCCACCGCCCACCGCGGTCCTCGGCACGGCGGTCCGAGTCGGCATGGTAAGCCGATGAGGTCGATGAGGTCCTTCATGAGTCTTTGGCAGGTCTTCTTTTTGACTCATAGACTCATGACTGACGGGAGAACATCACTAGCTGTCCCTGGACGATCCGATCGATGTCCCTCAAATCCCTGGACCAAAAAAGAGCAAGACCTGCTGGTTGACCTGCTTTTTCATGTTTTGAGTTAAGATGATAACACTCCACACATTTGGAGCACGAGCCGTCAGAAGATGCTCTGGACACTCTCTGGCTCGTTTCCCCAAACAGTGGTGGTCACACCAAACCGAGACCGAGAGCTCGGAAGTCGAAGCCGACACCGAGAACACCCCAGGCTGAGTCTGGTGTCTTCCAGGGTCGGGGAGAGGTCTCATTCCCCCCGCCCTCATCCCCATCCATGGCCCATCCATGTCATGGTTTCTTTGGCATTTCGTCCGCACGCGGAAACAACGTCCCTCGGCTCTCCACGTTGAGTCGCTGACAGCGTGGCGCTCCCGTTGGCTGTCTGCGCGTTGGCTTTCTCCGTCGCGCGACAAACGACGTGGATGACTCCGCTCCGGTCGACGTGGAAGACGCCGCGGTCCGCGGTGACCGCCCCAGTTACATCAAGACGGGGAAGGTGACCGAGGCCACGGAGGCGACCGGGAAGCGGCAATGCGGACTGCCGGGTCTTCGGCCGGGGGGGTCTTTTTTCTGTTGGAGTCGGTTTGGCGTTGTGAAGAAGGGCCTGGTTTTTGGGGAGGAGTTCTTCTAGATAGTTGGTTTGTAAGACTTTCTCAGGTCTGTCATTTCCTGGAACCCAGACATGACCCCTGTCTTCTTGAGAAGCAGATCCATACATTTGGATGGTGCTCCAAAGCAGGGGTCGCTCAGGTTCTAGGCTTACACTACAACAGGTCTCCGAAATGGTGGCTGGTGAAGTCGGGTGCTGGTATATATATATATAATCCCCTGGCGTGGTGAACATGTGGCACGGTTCCAAACGCCACATGTTGGAAGGTCCTTCTACAAACCTAGTGGTTAGAACTGGGTGTTGCTTCGGATCTAGTGCTGGCTGGTGCTGGCTTGCCTCACAGTGTGAGATCAACATCTCTCAACAAAAAGATTAATCAGCTCCCACAGAACGTCTATTTTCCACCAGATGGTTCAAGTCTTTTTAAGGTTCTTTCTGGTCATGCGCATCTCTCTCATGGTCTGGTCATCATGCCATCTATGATGCATCCTCAATGAACGAAAAGCGCCTCATCCACAGGTCTACGCCTATGGCATGGTAGTCATGGAGATGCTTCTGAATACCATGCCCGCATGTATGGGCCAGGCGGGCTGAAAGTCTACACTGCTGAAGTCAGGACCAGAGACCTCACAGATATAAGTGCAGTGCAGATCGCCCAGGGAGAACCCGACGCCGGTCGCTTTCGTTTGGAAGTGTGAGGTGGTTCTCACATTGCGGACTTTGAATTCCTAAGGTGAGCAGAAGTCGGGGATCTTCAAGGTCTCGGTGATGGTGTGTGATACCCCATACAACATTCTGCCCACTTTGACTTAGGGGAAGCTTGGGGGACTGTTCTCACGGATGGTGTTTCGATTGAAAACCCCAAGAGTGGTTTGTCCCTGGAGCAGGTTGTCTAAGCCCTAGGGCTCCAAACCATATCCTCAGGTTCGGTGGGGACTGACCCCCCTGGCACCCACCCGTGGCCCATCGAACCTCAGGAGGTGGGCCAGGAGCCCGTTCGGGGAAGTTTCCTGCCACTAGGTTTTGGCTCCGACGGGCCTCGAGGTTTGTCGTCGCCGACTGTTCTAGCGCCGGAGGTGGTCCGGTTTCGCGGTTCGGAAGGCGGAGGACCATTCGGTTCGGAAGCGGTTTCAGAGCACGGCCTCCTTTTGGGTATTTTGGCTTGTGCAAAATTGCCGTGGATTGAACAGTCTTTCTCAGGGATCTTTTGGGGCAATGGAGTGTTCACGATGGTTCACTGACCTACGACGTCTTTAGGCGATAGTTAGGACTACCTTGGCACCGAAGAAGGAAGGGATCGTTGACCTACGACCTTTCAACACATGCGGCTGCGCAACAGGGGAAACAGACCAAGTTCCCCAAGCTGTTCGATGGATCACCGGAGCTTTCTCCTTTTGGGAGAAAATCGGATCTTTCAGATGAAGGAGACCCCTTCTCCCTGCAGTGCCCCCTCTGACTCGAATCCTCGGGGCAGAAACTCGAAGCTCGACGTCTCCACGTCGTGGGGCAGAATGGCACCATCATGTACCCGATCTTCCAGATCGTGATGCCACAGGCGTGCAGCTGCACACTTGGAAAGAGTTGGGAAGAAGGTTTCTTCCGGACTTTCCCCCGAGCCTCCTTTTTTTCAGTGGCCCTTTTTGGGAGGTCCCCCTTTCGGTGGGTCCTGAAGGGTGAAAGTCCAAATAGTGTTGAAGCATGTGGAACCTAGTTTTTTAGGCCTCGAAACGTAGCTTGAACGGGTACATCTTAGAAGAGGAAGGTGGAATTCCGGCCAAGATCGACCCTGAAAAGAGAGCCCAAATCGACTCCCCCAACCTCGGCGGACCAAAAGCGACCTCTCCTGTCCGGCAAGCCGACCTGGGTGCTGAGACACAGTGCTGGTAGGCCTTCCAGTGGTCCGAAAGGCCACTCTTGGGCCATCTCTTCTCGATCCCCTCCAGCCGGCACGATCGACGCACAGCAGCCCCGCAACATCCGCAGCGCAGGGCTCTCTGAAATTCCACATCGCCTGGCCCAGTGGATCCGAGTTGCTGCGGTTTCTTTTTAAGGAACCAGGGGCCCTCAGGCCTCGTTCGGTCCATGGTTTTTGGGACACACCTTTCCCCTGGAGGGTTCTCTGGGCACCGGACGGGGCAGGCAGAGGGCGCGCTGCAGCGGGCCGTCGGCGCGGCGGACGCCAAAGCCGAGTGGCCGCCCCAAGTGGCTCGGGTGCGCCCCGGGGTGGGTGTGGAGCGTACGAGGATTGAGCCGCGGCTGGTCTTCGAATCGTGGCGAAACATGCGAGGAGATTTGGGAGGATCTTTGTTTACCGGGTTTGGGTGGTACTTTGAGGAGAACACCAAGCTGCCAAGCATTCGTCATGGGTGGATTCTGAAGTTTGGGTCCATCGTTTCCAACAGGTTTGCTCTCTCTCTTTTTTCAGTCCACGCCACTGCACCCCTTTGCTTGAGTTTGGGCTTGGAGCTGTTTCTTTTAACATCAAGTCTGGCAGAGGGTTCTCACCGTTCCCTTTCCCCTCCCAAAGCCGCAAGAGAGGTTTCTCCCGGCGATATGCGAGATACGATACCCGAAGACTTCGACTTCTGGGCCACACGATACCAGCGCATGACTAGGCACCAGGATAGGGCTTTCGCACGCGGGATGCTAGTGAGAGAAACGAAGGAAGAGACTCCTTCCATGTGTTGGGAAACATGGGACCGTTGGTTAAAGAGTCCTTCAAGGGCAGACTGCCATCATAACCTAGACCGTCCCCCCCTGTTCTTCCGCAAAAGGACATCTCCGAGTTGATCCCAGTATTTTTTGATTGTGGGGGAACTCCACGTGGGGATCGTGTGTCACCGTTTTTTTCTTTTCAAGTGATTTGTTCATCTCCGGGTTTGAGGCCACAAACTTGAAAGTTCGGTCACACACAGGGACCTGCGAAGTTCGGTCACTACACCGATGCTGCCACACCGCAGTTCGGTGCCATCCATTCGAGCCACCTTCCTGGTGTCGTTTCAATGATCACTCCTGGACCCCTGGAGGACGTGGCGGAGCTCTCGTTGGTTTGCTCGTCGCATGAGGAGAATGGCCCCCCACGTGGAGACCCGGGACGGAGATCGATGGGGTGTTGCGTGGTTCGCAGGGATCTATCCGCCCTGAAGAGGTTGGACCAACAGGGTATTCCGTCCGTATGCGCTGATGTTCAAAATACGGACCGGTATGAACTAGACTCTTTAGACATCCTTTATAGGTCTATCAGTCTATCCACATCCAACTCAAGGAGAAGCAAAGGTTTTGGTTGGGAAATTTGGTGGGCTCCACCCTGATAGGTCCTGACCAGGAGAGAACAGGATGACATCCTGCCAGAAGGTTGGTGAAAAACAGACAAATCCTGGTTTGCGTTTGGACATCGGAGGGCAGTAGTATTATACTAAGTTGGGTAGCAGTGGTCTAAAGGATACTACTCTTTGACAATGTCAAGAGGTTGTGGAGATGACAAGGATTCACAAGGCCTGTAAGTGGTCCGGGTAGAAATAAATGCCCGGGGCTACTTCTCTATTTATTTTTTGGGTCACTATAAACAGTTCAAGAGATGGCAGGTGGCCTTACCTCCTTCAGACCACGAAGAAAAGCACAGACAAGACACCATGTGGTGTAAACCTGGCTTTGGTACCTGTGACGTTTCAAAATTGAACTGCATGGACGTCTTTTTCCATGCACCAAGACGTCCATCACCATGAATGGCAGGTGGACTGACCCGGAACACCTCGGGGGGTGGGGTTTCGGCCGAAGACTGGACAAAAAAAGATCCGAAATCAGTTAGCATTAACACCTGGGAATCGTTTACCTTTAAAACATATCCCATTAGGGACACATGTCAACAGGAAAGCCTCTTTGGACCCTGAAGACCTCCAGGGAGAGACCTGATCTGCTCCGAGCGCGGCTCCGAAGCAACGGAGACCTGTGGATTCCCAGCGTTCCGACGCCGGAAGAAGGGACCATCGACCAGTCTCGACCTGTTGAACCAGCGGCGATCGTTGTGTGTGTGTGGGGTCTCGAGGTCCAAATTCCCAGCTCAACCAGGACCTGCAAAGTGACCTTTTTGATCCTCTTTGGAGTCTCTAAGTGGCCTGTTCAGGGACTATATAAGTGACCGAAAATCCTGGGATCTCAAGGACGGTCATGTACGGAAGGTTTTGCCATCGAAGTGTCTCCGGGTTCTACGGGCCGAAGAAAGCCCGGAACAAACCCATCGCTTTCGACTCGATGGGCTCGACGAACGCCCAGACGACTCGCTGCTTTCGCACCGCTGCTGGGCTCGTAGTGAGATTTTGTGTGCACTGCCCGGAAACGACCCTGTTGCCTCAAAGGCCGCGTGGCTGGGGTGATCGTTGGCGCTGCTGGAGGTGATGGATCCTCTTTTCACAAGGGGATCTTCCTGGTTTGGTTTTGGGACACTCAAATGCCCTTGGAGAATCAGAAGGTTTCAGGGAATCCCTGAGCTGGATCTCTTGGACTCCGCGGCTTGGACTTCCTGGTTCCTGACACCTCCAGGTGGCAGTGGGTGTCCGGTGAAGGTGGCTTCAGAGTCGGATCTGCGAAGCTCAGGTGTTAGACAGTTCCCCCAAACCCGTGTGGTTGACACCTCCAGGCAGATAAGGGTATTCTGAAGAAATCCTCGTGTCGTCGTGAGTTTGGCCGGGTTTCCTCCGATCGGTGCTGGCGGTCGTTTGGTCAAGGCCTTTGCTGACCGTCATCATCCACAGCACCCTTGTTTACAGGGGATATACACCAGGACCCTCCAAGAGGTCTCCGAAATGGTGGCTTTTGCAGACTTAAAAGTCGCAGGTGGTGACCTGTTGGAGGGTGCTGGCATGAATCTACCGTAAAGCCAGGAGGCTCAGGAGGCTGAAGAAAAAAGCACTGCACTCGCCTGTTTTCTGGCAAGGCCAAGTACGAACTTGTAGGGATTCGAAACGAAGACCAAATGTACAAGAGGAAGCTAAAGAATGCTACAGATATGAATCTCAAGCTAAACAGCGAGTGAAAGGAATCTCGCCCTGTTCAAAAGGAGGTCCTTCTTCAAATTCATGATTGTCAAGAGTAAAAAGGAGCTTCCCAAGTTGAATCTACCCTGTTTGTCGTGTCACTATGGCATCCATGCGGCATCCCTGCTGAGGAATTTCCGATGACGTCCTTGCTGCATTACTACCGCGTGGCTGCTCGCTGGAGATTGCTCAGTTGTTGATCCAACATCGATGGACCAGGTGATCCAACATAGCAGCGAAAGAACATGTCCAGGTTTCGTTCCATCTTGTTGGTGACCCCTTATTCTAGCCTTCTAAAACCACTAAAACAAACTTACTTGTTTGGCAGCTTGATTGAGTCGGCAGGAAGTTTGACTGGGTTGGCAGGTAATGAGTCAATGAGCATGGTAATTTCCGACTAGGAAGATGTGGTGGTGGTCAAGTTGACAAACACAAGCGGAGAACGGGAACAAACTCGAAACATAAACATTGTGTTTATGTTTTGAGCCTGTTCCGGTAACAAAATCAATGGAGAATCCCGGAATCCTAGGAACTAACAATCGCACTGGCAATGGCTGCAAACCACGTTCGGGCATCCAGCAGAATCAATCTTTCTCTGTTTTGGAGCATGTACTAGTGACCAAAAGGTTACTGGGAAGAACCAGGTGCATCCCTTTCGAGACGACTCCTTTCAATTGATTGGTTTGAGGGAAAATGACACCATCATGGTTTTCATCCCCAAAAACCATGGGTTTCCTAAAGCGATTTCCCTGACACCAATTTCTGAGATCCTTTTCTCATGAAGGCCTTAACAACCAACTGGGACGCCTGGGAGACGTCGTTTTACCGACCCCCGCACCGTCGAACGTCGGTGCGTTCGTGGCCGCTTGGTTCGCCGCGGCACGGAGCCGCGTTTGAGCCGCGGGCCGTGCGCGGATGAGACAGGCGATGTCTCGGGATGTCCACCGCTGGTGACCTGTGGTGTAAGATCCTTAGGCACAGTCACAAATCATATGGACGTTGGGCCAACATACATTTTTTCAGGGAAGGGTCAGTTCCAAGAAACCGTCCCCCTCACTCTGTCAGCCAAGGATTTCTTGGATCTTTTCTTGGGGTCAAATTCTACAGACATCAGTGGCTCTGAGGCTCAGAAACTCCAACTCATCCGTTTGACTCAGTCCTCGTCCGGACCGACGTGAAACGTTCCGGTCCTTTCGAGGCGGACCTCCACCTGAACCCCACGCTGCAAAAGAAGGCCGGGAAGCCGGGGCTGTTCGGGACGTCCGCTGGGACCGGGCACTCGGCGGCTGGGGCGGCCGGCTCGGGGCTCGAGGTGTTTGGGGGCGGGCGACGGGGGTCCGACTTCGCCAGGCGGCGGAAGTGGACTGCAAGATGGTCAACAGCGAGATCTGCTACAACATCCAGGTGCGACGAAGGGTCCGGGAAATGGCGGAGTGGGATCCAAAGGACTCTCGCTGTACAGGGAGCGACACTTCCCTTATTCCCTACAAGTCGCATCAGTTCGAAGGGTTGGTATGGTGCGTGCACTGCAGCCATGCTGTGCCGTACGCAGCGCTGTCCAACGCAGCACGGACTCGTTTGAGATATGAAGACCATCTGCGCGTTTTGGATGCAAGAACAAAGTGTTTTGGGGCGTGGATGAGTTCTTCTCTTCCAGCACAAAAAGTGATGTGTGTTGGAGGGAAATACACAGTCACGGGTGCCTACCACAGCTCCCTCTTGGAATGGGTCAATGGACACCCCAAATCCCCTCTGACTGGGCGATGCTTGGGCAAATCCGCTAGACAAGCCCTGGTCTAAACCACGGCTTGTCTCTCCGCGGTGCTGGGCTTGTCTCTCCGCGGCGACGACGGGGGTGGACGGACGATGGGTGGACGATGGCCTGGTGACGACGTACAGCTGTTCACCCGGACGACGATCGACTCTGAAATCAATCCGAAGACCTAGTTCAGGTGGTTTTCACTCCACGAAACCATGATTTTCAGGGGGCCTAGTTCCTGAAGTTCCATGCAATGCTCCGTAGACTGCATGGCTGGACTCGACGCCCGCCTGGAGCCTTTTTGCGACTCTACCAACCAGCCGATCGCGTGAAGACGGCCGTTCGCCGCCGCAGGCCAGCTCCAGCTTGGATGGCGAAGAGATTAAGAAGCTGGAGCCTGCTGGCGCAAATGTCGCCCAACGATTCGGATTTGGGATCCCACTGATCACTTTTTCTTCTCCTGAAGATAGGGCTTCCTTATTTTGGGTGGTGAGTGGGTCTTGCCGCCTGGAATCCCCTGCAATCCCTTCACGCAGTGACAGTATCCGATTTGCAGGTGAGCCACGCCGGTTGTAGTGGTTGAGCCTTGGAGCTGTCTTGTTTGGAGATGGCGCGAGCCCGAACAAGTTCCCGACCTTTTTTCTGTTGTTTCGTCCAGACGCGACCCTGGACCCTGCTAAGTATAGGGACCCTACCCTCATGTCGAGGGTTCCGGACCCTCAAATCAAATCCCTATGGTTTTCAGGGACCAGCCGGCCTGTGAACGGAGCGTCTGGGCAAGACGTTTCAAGTGCATTCCGGCTCCCAAACCTTCAAAACATTGATGAAGACTACCAATCCAGCAGTCACAAAGGGGTGCTTAATGAAGGCTAGGGGTGCACATTATCCACTCACTTAGGGACTAAATACCACCCCTTTGTGACTCCTGGATGATGATCGTTGGGGCTCCGAGTAAAGAGGATCGATGGCACGATCATCCACGCCCACAGGGTTGGTGCCATCATGTGCCATCGATATCATACTTGTACTCTGAAACGAGACCTTTGGGAACGCAGCGTTTGCATGCGACGTCCAGTACGCTTTCAGGGCCAGTCCCAAACCTGTTGGACGTGCCCCAAACGTGGGGTTCTTTCGAGAATCGGAGCATCGCCACCCAACACGGCCGTTGCGAACGCTTCGTGAAAACGACACCCACACTGGACATTTTCCCGTCAAACACCGCCGCAAACCTCGGACAAGTGTATGGGCGGAACTGATGGACAGTTTGCTGAAGCTTGACATCTCCTGAGAGTGAGGACTTGAACATTTTCTGGACAAAACACCACAGATTCCTGTGAACATCCACTCTCCCTAGAGTTCTTTCTTCTCTTTAAGAAAGAAACCTTGAAGCACCTGTCGAAAGGTTCATTTGAACCCCTCGAGAAACCGAGCCGAATCGGGCCTCATCCGATCTCATCCCTTCCCCAACGGCCCAACGGGAGGGGCCCAGAAGAACCCCGGGGGGCCCATCACGACGTCCCCATACGTCCCCGAACGTCCCCGCGTTCTCTTCCGTTCGAAAAAACCGACGGACGAACCCCCCAACAGGTCGGGGTCGGGTCATCCGTCGGTCTGGGGGGGTTGGACCCCTGGGGACCGACGCCGTCCGCCCGATGGAGGGAGGTCCTGTGTTTCGGGTCGCTTCGCGGTTCGAGAGAGGACCGGGTGGTGCGGGTGGCGGGTGACCGGAGTGTCAAATCGTCAAGTTACGCCAGGGCCAAGGATGGCGGGCCGTTCAAATCAGTGGTGAGTGTTCCGGCCACATTGTTGGGCCAAATTGTTGGGGTGGCTTTTTGGCCTCATCCAGTGGAGAGGATGTGACACGGGCACCCGGACTTCCCCTCCGTTCGTGAATAGAACCGGTCCTGGTATTCTCGGACGCCGCGTTGGGACCACCAGCAGCAAGCAGGGAATGAGGGAATGACCTGGAGGTGCTGGTCGTACTTGGAACCCTGGGAGCTTGATCAAAGATGTTCTACCCCACCAGGACCAACCTGCCAGGTCAACCTCCTGCGACTTTTAAGATCGGCTCCCAGTGATGCTAAAAACAGCGTAGAGACCTCCTCCGGATCCATTCCCGGTCCATTCCGCGGCGGTGCGCGGAAACAGAACGCGCCTGCCTCACCGCTCGGCCAAGAGTCCCTGGCAGTGGGGACGCCGAGGTATTTGTTGCGGGAGACCTTCGAACCGGAGAAGTTTGGACAGAAGAGCTTACTCTCCGGGTCTGTGGTGGAGGTGGGACCGACCTGCGAACCGGGTTCGACCTGAGTCTGGAGACTGGAGACTTGGTGGCTGGAGGAGTGGGGATGGTTTGCGGGGTGGGGTGATGCTGCAGTATGAGGATTATGGTCAAGTATAGATGATATAGTAGTAAGAGTAATTAGACATGCTTAGTAGTAATAACCATACATAATAATGAATAATAACAGTAGTGATAAGATGAGGATTTTCTGTAGGGAGAACAGGGCCTGTGGCTGGAAAAATGTGAATGGACCTCCAGTCTCATCTTTGTGGGATAGAGCGCATTGAAAGGCGGAAGACCACGTGGTTGCTGGATCTGGGAACATGGGACAACCCGACCAGGGTCATGGGAGAGTGTCTCCAAGTCTAAATAAATTTCATCAGTTATAGGCAGTTCTCACCTGGACGCAGCCCTAAAGAGCATCGGTTGCTTCTCTTTGCTTCCTTCAACCTCGATCCCTACAACATGTTGGGCCCACGGGGGGGGGTTAGCCCCGCCGGCAACACATATCCGATCCGTTGACTGGTCTTTCGGGGTGGGGGGGTCAGTTTCGTCCGTGTTACTATACTCGCGTACATTGACTTTGACGTTGATTCGTCGACCCGGTGACCTTTCGTTCGTTGGTTCTGTTGTTGCGTTTGGCCGGTTTGAGGTGCCCTTCCCCCAATGTCCGTTCCGACTACCTCTTTTATTCAAGAGGTTTCATGGTTAAACTGCCAACATCCAGGTTTGGACTCAATGCTCGAGGCTGTCAGAATACATAGAGAAGCTGTGCAAGACACTTGTCTGCCAGCTCAAATGTACAGTGAGCTCAAATGGCTCAATTGGGAACAAGACTGATGTCTGGCGGCTGGGAAAATGAGCCTTGGCAAGCTGTACATGGAGCAGGCGGGTGGGTTGGGTCCGTCAAAACGCACTCAACTTATCGTCTTGCAACTCATGAGTTGCAAGACGATAAGTTGAGTGTCCGGCAAGCCACGTAAAGCACAGGGTTTTGTCACCCTCGGGATGTTGCGTTCGGGGCTAACCCCCCCGTTTACCCAACATGTTTGTTGGGACAATGGGGGCGGCTTGCCCGGCAACGTTTCCCACCACGGAACAGGTTTCTCGGGGGGCTGGGGACAGTTTCATTCGTGTTACTCGTCGTGTAAAAAATCGACCTTGGCGCTTCGGTGTCGACTTTGTGACGTTTCGTTCGCGTCGCTACTTGGGTCATTCGACTTTCGCGTGGCTTTTTTAGGCTTAGAGGACATGACGGGCTCGACGTTCGAGGTTTGTTTGTGTTGTTGTTGCGTTTGTCCGGTTTGAGGTGCCCTTTCCCCAATGAGCATTTGAGGATGTTTCTTTTTCTTTTCACGGCTGACTCCTTTTCTGCGGGTGCCCACATTGACGTTTGTTCCCGTGTCCCAGATCCGACTGTCTCATTTGTTCACACTTGTTCAGGAGCTTTCATTGCTAAACTGGTCACCCTTACGTTTGGATCGTCGCGTCGATGTTCGTTTGGTCTTGTTCGATGTTTGGAATTCTCACTTTGATTGAAGCCACGTGTCTTTGACACCTTTCTTGTGGAGTGCATTATGGGTTCTTTCGAGACGTTTATGGCAGATAAGAGATGTTGAACAAAACAGGCATGTCAACAATTCTACAGAGCATGTGATGGACACGCCATGTGTCACGCCGGAGCCGCTGGCATCCGACCCAGAGTTGGAAGCGCGCGAGCGTTCGCCGCCTCGGGCCACGCGGACCACAACTCTGATCTCAGACTCACCTGGTCGATTTAACAGAATCGCCTGCACGGTGTTCTTCGGATGCGCGAATGTGGCAATTTTTGGGGCAGTTGTTCGAACTTTTGAGAAATAATTTTCCGGACCCCTTGTTCTCCGACAACATTTCAAGAAGACGAGTCGGAGTCTTTATCACCACCGAATGGATTTGAGAGCCCGCCGCACTTGCGAGCAAATGTCGATCATTGGACGAGGCAGTGACATTGCTAGTAGGTTGGAGGCCATTGCTATCAGGTTGGAGGCGATCGATCACACTTAGGTTGGAGGCCATTGCTAGTAGGTTGGAGGCCATTGCTAGTAGGCGCTTCCAAGGGCCTACAAGGTGCTTATATTGAGGTGAACTTGACTGCCACGGCACGGCATTCCCACAGTGAGTGCGCGCCGACAGTGGCTCTGTCCAAAAGACACCTTCCAAAGAAGGCTTTGCCAGCGTTGAAGCATCCTCTTCTGCCAGCAAGGCCATGCCGCCCATGTTGCTTGAGAAGCAGAACCAAGTCAGTGTCGTTGGCGGAGACCAAGGTACAGAAAGCTTGGCAGCAGTGATAGAGAAGTCACTGCGCAGAATGGGTCTTCTCCTCGCAGCATTGTGGCTCAGCCAACATCCAGGGATGGACTCAATGCTGCAGGCTGTGAAAATGCACACATAGGCTGTGCAAGACACTTGTCCGCCAGCTCAAATGTACAGGGACCTGTCATGGCTCAATTGGGCAGAGGACTGATGTCTGTGGTGCAAAAGAATTCTGGATGTGCAGATCACTGAACAGGAGAGACGACGGGAGAGACTCGAGGACGGGGATCGCTAGTCTTTGGATCGTCTTAAAGCTGCACTCAGGTTTATCGTCTTGTAGTTTGTGAACTCCAAGACGATAAGTTGAGTGTCCCGAAAGCCAAGATACCCTGTAAAATGCATGGTATTCAGGCCCTCTCCATGTGGCAGTCCGGGCAACCCCCCCGTTTACCCACAAGAGGTTGCTGATGGGATAGTTCACAGGACTGTCAACTACGCTCCGAGACGACCTTGAACATGCCGATCCGTCCTTGAACAGAATTCTCTCGAAGAGTTGGTCCCCCGCTGCGATCCGATACAGTCGGACACTGTCCGTGTTGCCAATGTAGTACCAACAGAGGTTCAAGAAACCTTTGTTCGACTATGCCAGTTGGGTACCCCAGCTCTCCCCGCATGTTTTTTCAGGTCCCAAAGGTCACATCTCTTGCTACGGCAGGCCGCAGACCGTTCTCTTTCAACGCAGACCGTTCTGCTCCTCGCCAGGTTGGCCCCCGGCAGCAGTTCACCAGCGCCTGGTCCACGAACGCCGTCCGGGAACCCGGGAAGCCGTCCGGCGTTGATTCGGGAGTCGACCGCCGGGTCCGGGGTTGGAGGGGTGCGAAAAACGCAGTGTTTGGAGGGAGACATGTGATGTTGCAGGTGCACTTCCCAGACATCCGTTCCTTTCATCGTTCGGGGAAAAGAGGGCTGCGCTGGACGTTCGACCTTGCGATTCTGCCCAGAAGATTGGAATCTGATGTTGGAGATCCCCCGAGATGCACAGCAGGTTTCAGCAATTTGTAGATCTCCCACTTGAGCACGTCATGACTTGTTCCCAGAATTCTTTTCAAAAATTATACCTGGACCCTCCAATCGAGGTGTTTCCTGTGTTTCCAATTTCGGTTCCCAGAAACCACATGTGGTCGGGTCCAAAGTTCAAAGACCACCCGGCGGAGGGTCCTGGTTTTCTTCGTTGAACGTCGTAGCACCTTCTGCAGCGTATTGCCGGTCGACGTGCGGGTGTCACAACGCTGGGGATTGGTACCATGTTTCGTTTCAAAAGGGCTTGCCTGGCTCGTGCCCCTCCCCAAACTTCGTGGGTGCATTTTTTCTCACACGCTGTTTCAACTACTTGGCACGTGCGTGCATCACCGATTGTTTGAAGCACGGAATTCGCACAAAGCCAGGCCCGCTCCCGAAATGAGGTGTCCATTTGCCACTCCATTGCGCTGCCCAAAATCGTGCGCATTGATGCTCGGAGATGTTCAGCTCACGGCCTGGATGGAAAGACCCCGGTTGGGTCGCGGGCTTGGAAGGTGACGGGCTGCACTACTTGGATGTGTACTTGCAATAAGGGGCCCCAACCAATGGGGATATTTGGTCTATTTCCCTTCTTCCAGGAATCGAACTGGGAGGTTTCCCTATTGAACACACCCATTTCGGTCGCGTGGAGTTCTTGCGCTTTACATGTGGGGGGGTTTACTAATCAAGAGTCTGACCTCAGGTGGGTGAATCACAGTTTGACTGCACCACTTTGTATTGGGATTCAGCGTATTTTTCACTCCTTAGACTCAGACTCCCTAGACTATTTCGGTGCTTTCCAGGATCTGGTGGTTTCTCTCTCCCCACGCGCGCGCGTGTTTCGGCTCAGGAGAAGTCTCGGCGATACCAGGTGGGGCCGGTGACCGGCAAAGCGGGGCGGTCGAGATGGTGCCGGTGGTGAGTTCCGGTGGGATCCGGTGTCAGCGATCGATCATCGATTCAGATGTTCGGCCCACTCGGCGAGATTGAGACGTTTTTTTTTTCGCTGGAAAGACCGGGGGGTTGGACGCGGGGAAGGTCAAGTCATATCACCTGAAGCGTATCCGCCACGAATGGGCGGAGGCTTTGGGCTGCCTGAGGGAGATCATGCGAAGTCTGGTTCCTAAAGTTACAGAGATCCTTTCACTCAAATGGGTCTTTCAGACATGTGAAAAGCATTGAAGGAGTTTGGTTGACCTGGTTTCTGCCAAATTCCAAAGGCCATGAGATCGATGGCGGGCGGGCGACCGGAAAACTAGACAGAACATGTTGGCAGCCTTAGTTCGCCCGAAAGACCCCCTTTAGGGGTCTCTGAGATGGGCCAATCGGTGGACCCACGAACCTCTAACGCCACACATCGGATCTCGCAAACTGCAAAGGGTCGGACCACCACCGACACGCAGGGGTGACCCCCCAAAGCCTTCCCAGGCCCGGATTCTGAGGGCTCCCCAGACTTGACCACCCAACAAGGAGGCAAAAGCATTGGGGGAGCCCAATGCTTTTGCTCCCTTTTTGGATGGTCAAGTCTGGTGGAAGTTAGGTGTCCAGCCAAGGGGAGGCGTTCATTTTTTTGTGCTGGGTGGCCGGGTGACTCCCTTATTTTTTTGTGGGGAGTCAAGCTGTTGTTGGGGAACAGATGGAGAGAGAGAGAGAGTCAGCCAACCTGATTCCCAACCAGCACCCCAAAGAACACGTTGTTTCTTTCGGGTGATTCGCGCACGGCGCAGATGTTGTTTTCTTTTTTTCGAAAAGGAGCCCCTCTGACCCGCCGTGAACAAAGCTCAGAAACTGATCAGGGTTCAGAAACTAACACCACGGATTTCTATTTTTGGTGAGGGTGAGTGGCGATGGGAGGTGGTGGTGGGGTCTTGAGGAGACATTCATGTGAGCACCTGGAAAAAACATGACAAGCACGTTTTTTGGGGCTTCCAAACCCGTAGCACGTTTGAGTTTCCGAAGACCACGAAGACTCGAGTGTCGGATCCGAAGCTGGTCATCTCTTCCGACCGTCCACGCTACTCAGTTTGGAAACGACCGCCAGCATGACCAGTACATCCACTCCCCACACTCCCCACCTGTCTTCTGAACTGAGTTTCCACACCCTGCGTTGGAGTTTCCAAACGCTGACCTTCCAGACGAGGGGATCAGACTTCTCCGGATCCAGCCCGAAGAAAAGCCGTCACGTGATGTACAAACTCCTCGACTGCACGGCACTCCGTATGTGTAGCGGAGGACATTCCTGTACATCCTCTCCCACTCCCATTTTCTTTAAGGCGGTTGTTGAGTATCTCATGGATTTGGCGGGTCGAACAAGAAAAGCCAGGCTCCAAAGGGGTGTGGGCACCCCCAAGCCAACAAGCCAACTGTAAACAGACAAACGCCCAAAGAACAAGACCCAATGCCCAAAAGCCTCCAAAAACAATCCAAGAACCATCCGAATATGTTTAAGCCACATCCAACAATTCAGCTTCTTTCCCGAAAGCATTGCGAAGGGTTCTTCCGGAAAATCTCTTGAACACTGACACTTCTACACTTACACTTGAACACTTACACTTCTACACTTACACTTGAACACTTACACTTCTATACTCACAATGGCACAGAAGTATCCAAGTGAAAGATAGTGAAAGTTTGTTTGTATTTGTAAGTGTGAGTATCCCAGTGTAAGTGCAAGAGTGAACGCATGAGTATCCCAGTGTAAGTGTAAGAGTGAAAGCATCCAAGTGCAAGTATGCAAGTGTAAGTATCCAAGTGCAAGTATGCAAGTGTAAGTATCCCTGTGCAAGTATGCAAGTGTGAGTATTGAAAACTTTCACGGGAGATGTCCTAATGAAACACATTTCCCCACTTTATAAATTGAAGGAAGGGACACATGGCCAAGGATTGCCGGCAGCCCAAGAAAGAGAAGGGAAAAGAGAAAGGTGGAAAAGGTGAGAAAGGTGAGAAAGGTAAAGGAAAAGAAAAGGAGAAAGAGAAAGGCAAAGGAAAAGGAGGAAAGTCTTCCGGAAAGAGTCAGTCGAAAGGAAAGCATAAGGGTAAGAAAGGGCTTCGTTCAGCTGAGTATTTCGACCTAGCTACGCCAGAAGAGTCAGAAGGAGATGTAGCAGACCTAGAGCTAGAAGCCAGAGAGTATGAGTTTTCGAAGAACAAGAAGCCTGGAGTGAAACGTCCGAGACGACCGAGCCTATTCGATTGAGTGCACTAGTTCGTAAGCCGACTGTATCTAGAGAAGCCTCTGAGAAGTTTCGTTGTCGGTTCGTGAAGGGTCGTTGTGCGGGAAGTGATCCCGTGGAGAGTCATTGTGCACGAAGTGATCCCACTCGGTTCGCGGAGAGTCGTCGTGCACGAAGTGATTCCACTGCTGTCTTCTTGCCTGACAGCGAATATCCGGGAGCCCAGAGTGAATGCAGTGCACCTGTGTCCAAGCTGACTAGGGACAAGAAACCGTATCTAGAGCTAGAGCCCAATACAGACTTGAGGAAGCCAGTAAGACTTAGACTTGTTGGTGCTTTGACTCCGTGTTTGAGCGTAGAGGCAAGGCATGAGGTGTCAAGGTCTTGTGGCAAAGCACTAGTGTCAGACATGTGCAGCATGTCGTTTTTCCAAGATGCCAGTTTTGCAGAACAGTGGCAACTCGTTCAGACTTGCAAGCAGTTGATCGTGTTAGATCGTGATGTTGAGCCTGTAAAGCAACAAGACGTGGGTAGCAGTCTTTTGCCTTTGTCGGAACCGTCGTCGTGCCGATCGTCGAAACCGTTGAACCCGTGCTTTGAGGTGGAGTCCATCCACCATCCATTGGCGTGGGAGTTCTCAGCCCGAGAGTCCAAAGGGCCCAGAAGTAAGGAGGTGAAGCCTTCGTGTCGTGCAGTTGAGCCTGTACCTAGAGTGAGCTGTGCCAGAGCAGAGGTTGATGATCATTCGAAGTCTTGTGAGGCAGTTGCTAGATTCAAGGATCAGTCGAAGTCTTGTGAGGAAGTTGCTAGATTCGTTGATCATGCGAAGTCTGTGGAGTCAGCCTCTAGATTTACAAGCGATCATTCGAAGTCCGGTGAGCCAGCATCTAGATTTGCACTCGGTCGTGCAGCCGTTTCGGAGAGAGTGCAACCGCTGGAACCATCCAGTGATCGATGTCGTGAGCCCGGAGTGCAGACAAGAGAGTGTCCTTCTTGGGACGTGTTCGATGGTGAAACTTCGAACTCAGAGTGTAGTGAACTAGAGAAGGAGTACAACCTAGATTGGATTGGTGTTTCTGAACCGCCTGCGCTTGAAGAGAAGTCATGTTTTTCACACCTTAGTGGTAGAAGAGTAGATGTGAGGAACTTGGACTGTCAGCCTGTGCCGAGCGAGGGGTTTGAAGGGTCTAGTAAGACTAGTTGCTTGAACATAGAAGAGTCTGGCAAGACTAGTTGTTTGAGGGATCCGTGCCCGTGCCCCGGCATCCGCCGTGCATTGGAAGCAGTGGAGCCCAGCATCGGGGCCTCAGACCAGCCAGAGTCGATTGAGCTCATGCCGGAAAGCGAGATTCGTGAGCTTGAGAAAGATGTAGGGTTGGCAGAGTTTTTGGTAGTTGGCATGTTTTGCAAGAGCAATCTAGAAGACCTTACCTTGCAGTCTTGGTGGCTTTTAGATTCAGGAGCATCTAGGTCCGTAGTAGCGGAAAAGTTTTTGTCAGCCTATGAAGTGTCAAAAGAACGTAGAACAGATCCGCCACTGACTTTCTCCACCGCTTCGGTGGAGAAGGTTGAGATTCGAAGGGAAGTAGTCCTTAAGATGTCCATGAGTGGTGAACACGGCCTCCAGAGACCATTGCTTGTGAGATGTTTGGTTTCGCATGTCGAGCACAGCCTGATTTCTGTTTTCGGTGTTTGCAGACAGGGTTGGCGTTTCAGCATGGGTCCAGACACGTGTGAATGCACAATCGGTAGTGTAAGGGCCAACTGCCCATGGTTGAAAGCTGATGAGTATGTAGAGCCTGATGTCGACTCAACAGTCGTAACCACTACGGCAAGACCCAGCCCCCCGATCGATACGATCCCGAACCGGCATCAGGGTCGATGGAAGTTGATGCATTCGCTGTGACCTCGGGTGAGTAGTCGCCGAAGGGTCAGAAAAGTTTTACCCGAAGTATTCTGAAAAGGGGAATGAGGTAAGTAGTACTGTAGCACCAATGCCTGAAAGCCATGCCACTGGTAGGAGGAGATTCGATAGTAAGAGACCTGCAGTGAACGTTCAGCCAAAAGATCCTGAGCCTTTTGGACCTGAGTCTGGGTCCAAGGAAGTTGACTTACCCGTAGGTGAGCCCAGCTTAGACCAACCAACACCCGACTTAGTTCCCAATCGGCTTAAAGAATAAGAGTTGAGAGAACTTCTAAAGCATAGATTGCAGGGCCATGCCTCCTATCACCCCTCCTGTGAACACTGTCGGATGTCCCGCTCAGTGAAACAGCACAGACGCAGTCAAGGAAGCAAAGGAATCGAGGTTCAAGCAGACTTCGGAGTCGTTGAAGCTTTAAGTAATCAGAACTTTAAAGTCCTTTGTTTGACCGAAAGAGAGTCCGGTGCTGTGGGATATGTTGCGGTAGGCTCTAAGTACGATAAGGTAGTAGCTGAGACTAGTAGATGGGCAGCCTCGATAGGTGTGACTGGCCCGAGGTGTGACTGGCCCGAGTTCAGCCACCGTCCTTGTTCGGAGTGATATGGAGCCTAGTCTTGTCAACCTCCTCCGCCGAGCTATCCCTGGCATCGTTGAGACCGTTGGGCCTCAGGAACACGAACAGGTTGGAAGTGCAGAACGGAGCGTTCGCCTACTCAAGGAGCGACTGAGTTGTCTTCGTGCCGATTCACAGGGTGCAGGGTTTGACATTGTCCTTAAGGAAGAGACCTTGCCTAGAATAGTTCGGTACATTGCAACGACCCATAATTACCATCGATCAGTCCGAGGAAGTGATAGAACTCCTATGGAATGGATCGTAGGCCAGAAAAGAGCTCCCTTTGCAAGTGCACTTTTTGGAACGGTGGTCGTTGCGGAAGTTGCGTTGTCAGTGGTGAGCCCGCCAGGGAGAAGATGGATCCAGCCATGTATCTAGGACCACAGTATGGAACCAGAACTAGTCTTGTATCCTCTCTTATTGGTAGTCCCGACTCGTTGGAACTTAAGATCTTTGCAGCGAAGTCCATAAGATGCCTCAATAAGATAGTATATGAGCCTAAGTTTGGTCCAGACTTCATAGCCCGTACAAGTGACTCACCAAGCCCAGCGCTGATGAAGAGAGAAGGCCAGCTGACGTATTGCCACCTGCAACGCCAAAGACCGGACCCCCAATCGAGTGGATAAGACGGAATGGCAAAACGCCTGGTTGTTACGCCTGTGATAACCCATCCGGTAAGTCACACGGTCGTGTACACAGCCGCCAGGGTGAAGATAGGTACCTCGACTGGTTGAGAAAGGTTCAAGAAGG